GTGTCATTCAGTAATAACAAATAGTTGCTCATCAGGAAACTTCTCATTAATTTCATCTTCATAAGTATATGAATCTCCCTGATCCAGTCTTGATAAATGGTCCACTATTTGATTATCAGAACCCTTCATATCCACTACTTCGATATCAAATTCTTGCATAAACAGGACTCTTCTAATCAATCATTGTTTAGCGTCCATTTTTGACATAAGATATCTAATAACAAAATGATCGGTATAAACGATGCATTTTACTCCAATCAAATAGGGCCCAAATTTAACAAAAGCATATACTATAACCAATAACTCCTTCTGAATAGTAATATAATTAATTTGAGTTTCATTAAGGGTTTTACTGGCATTGTTATAGCTCTAAACATTTTATCGTGTCGTTGTCCTAAAGTTGCCCTGATAACATAGTCACTAGCATCAAATATTAACTCAAATGGTTTCCTCTAATCAAGTGAAACAATAATAGGAGCAGTGACTAATTTCTCTTTCGGAAGATTTAATGCATTTATGCATGCATGGTCATTAAATAAAGCATATTTTTCTAAGAGATGGCATAGAGATTTGGTGATTTTAGAAAAATTTATAATATATCGTTTATAGAATCCAGCATGTCCTAGAAAAAAATTTGAGGGTTTGATAGACAAGAAAGCACATGGCATTGATATGAACCAACTAAGTTCCAATGTAGATCTTTCTTCTTTAATCTTGGATCAGATGTACAATTAAAGGAAAATAATTTTCAAAAAATAATGGAACTTCCAGATGAATGGTACTCACTGTATGTTCAATAGTTTGTGCAACTTGGTTTTGTACTGAAACAATGGTCGAAGAATGAATCCCACCTTTTTGAACAACTATGGAATAGTAAGCATCATAAATTTAATTTGAAAGGTGTAGGAATTTGAACATTTGAGCTTGTGGACAATACATAATTTTGCTAGTTGTTACTGATGATCTGAACATTGATCGCGCAAAAGCGTCATACAATTATGAAGACCCTTCAATTGAAGATGCACCACCAAAATTGGAGGAAATCAAATCTACAATTGACAAGCTAAAAGAAATCAACTTGGTGACAGAAAAGGAGCTCAAACCAACATTCATCGGCTCGTTATTAAATGAGGAAGAAGCAATAGAAATGACCAAGCTAGTGTCAAAATTCAAAGACTACTTCGTTTGGAACAACAAAGAAATGTCTGGACTAGCTCCAAAAGTTGTATTATATAAACCGGTGATAGATATTACTCCAGTAAAGCAAGCTCTAAGATGAATGCACCTGGTAATAGAAAACAAGTGATAGAAGAAGTTAAGAAATTGATAGAATCTGGTTTCGTTCGAGAAGAAGAATGCCCAACTTGGTTAGTCGGTGTGGTACAAGTCAAGAAAAAGAATGGTCAGATCTGATTCTACTTCGACTTCAGATATCTTAATAAATCCTGTCAATCTATTGTCGATTCCATAACTGATGGTAGATATCGCTTCATCACATGTATCTTTTCCTTCATGGATGGATTGTCAAGTTACAATAAAAGAAAATATGACACAAGAAGACGAGAATTTTACTAACACCCATTAGGATTTATTACTATAAGGTGATGCCCTTTGGACTACAGAATGTCGATACGATATATCAGTGGGTTATGACAATGATATTCGACAAACTCATTCACAACTAGCTCGAGTGCTATGTGGGTGGCTTAGTCATTAAGAGCAGAGAAAGGACGATCATTTATATGACTTGAGAATTGTCTTCAAATAGTTGCAACAATATAATCTTAAAGTGAATAATTTAAAATGCGCATTTGATATTACCTTGGGAAAATTTTTAAATTTAATCGTTAGACACTGCGAGTTTCAAATTGATACCCAAAAGATTAAAACAACTTAGAAATGTCATCTCTTAAAATCTTAACACAATTGCAATCCTTCCAAGGAAGTTGACATATCTCAAACATTTTATATCTAAAATGTCAAAAAGGTGTCAGACTTTTACTGTGTCAACAAAAAGAGGAGTGTTATGCATATAGTGTCCACCCAAGTACTCATAAGTACCAACCTAAAATCTAAGCCACACCTTGTGCCTTTTCATGTGACTAGGGTGAACCATGCGTCCCTTCTAGCCACAACTAATGTATGGTGCTTATAAAAAAGGGTAGTTATGACGACTATATATTGTATGGTGTGTTGCTTATGAATATGACTCATATATTCTGGATGATTGTTTGATATGAATGTCTTCGATTTTGGAAAAGAGAACACCTATATGCTAAAATTTGATGCCAAGACTAAAACTTTACGTTATAAAACTCTTAAGTTTAGCCCCACCCATCCACATAAGCCCACACCATCAAAATAAAAAAGGGACATAAATTTCAAGTAATTTGACCTAATTGAGTCCCAAAATGATGACTCCCACAATCCAATTATAAACCACTTTTTGTCAGTACGGTAAAAGACCGACACCTTTCTGACATTGTTACATTGGAGAGAGTTGAATTTAAGAGCCTTTTGTAGAGAGTTTTCAAATACTTGTAAGGATGTTAGGTTCATTCCTTATTTTTGGAAGATACTACGAAAGTTTATGGGGGAATGCACTTAAATAGTTCTCATCATTCCATCCCCTAATTGATAGGCAAACTAAGGTATTCAATAGATTACTTCATAACTTATTGAGGTGCTTAGTAGGGAAGAGCATAGGGAATTAAGATCCGCATTTAGCCACCTCTAAATTTGCATGTAATATTATAGTTTGCAACTCAACCAAACAGACATCTTTTGAGATAATACATGGATTTAATCCCTCTTAACATAGTTGATGTTCTTACACATGCATTTTTAAATTCTATATTCACAATTGCAAAAGACTATTACATGACACTATTAAGAAACAACATGAAGAGAGTAATATTAAATATTTCAAATTTGTAAAGAAAATTAGATTTATAAAAGAATATAAATAATGTGATTATATAATGAAATATATTAAACCTAAAAGAAATACCTCTAAATTTAAAAATTTCATGCAAGGACGTGCAAACCATTTAAAATCATTGTAAAAATTTGATCCAATGCATATTTTTTTGAATCATCACATGACATACTCATGGGCTAATTTGGAGAAGATGGCACTTAACTAGTGAAGGATTATTTGGACTTAACTCATTAGGGAAGAATTATTTAAGGGCCAAAAGAAATGTTATAGTACAAGCAACCCAAAATCCATCCACAAGAAGGTTAAACAACAACAAACCAGGCCATTTACTAAGAGCATAAAAACATTTAATTAAACCAAAACTTAATTTTTTTATTATAATTTTATTTTAATTTGTATGCATTTTTTACCTTCATGAAAGCTTGTGGAAAATTTCTGAAGATTTTTTTCCATATTAATAAATCCTTAAACTTATGAGGGAAAGATTATAAAATTATGATAAAAATCATCAATTACATACAATTTTATAATTGATTATTTAAAATTAAGCTTTTCGTGCCCACCAAAAGCAAAAATTTTTCTAAGCAGACTCCTGACGTAGATGTACGTGCGGCGCAGGGTATTCCTGGGTTATTTTCATGTTATTTCTGAGTTATTTTCAATAATCCTGAAATAACCCAGAAATAACCCGCGGTCTTTATTTTTGGGTTATTTCTGGGTTATTTCAGGATTATTGAAAATAACTCAGAAATAACATGCATCGCACGTAAAGGTACGTCAGATATCCGGACAGAAAATGCGTGCCACCAAAAGAGGGAGAAATGTCCCTCTTTAGTTCAAAATAAAGACTTCCCTCTCTTCCCTCTCTCTCTCTTTTTTAATTTCTTCTTTTTTCACATTAGGATTTATAAATGACTATTTATTGCTTATTTGTTGCATGAATGGAATTGATTGTTTGTTGAGTTTAAAATTTAGGATCTCTCTAGAAATATAGAGACACAGTGGCCATCTCATGTTTAAAAGAGATTTGGTGATAGTCCTCAACCTATCTTTCGTGCGTGATAGTTTTATCTTATTTTATTCACGTAATTTTCCTCTCTCCTTTTTTTTCTTTTTTTTTTCTTTTGTTGGAATATTGGGCTACATCTGATAAGGTAATTATACAGCCTGAAATATAATTATACATAGCATTACTAAAAGTAAAGCAACTAAAATTGAACTTGGCATTAGGCCAAAAGAAACCAATGAAGCAATTATAATAAGGCAACTGGATATGAGTTTAGCCTGAGCAAAAGCTATCAGTTGATGAAAATGAATGACATTATTAAACCTGACAAAACAGGATCTATTTTTGTTCTGGGTTCATGGAAGGGCCTAACAACATTTACCTTCTACTACCGCCCACTCAGAAAATTTAAAAAACATTGCCAGCATAGAAACAAGGCTTTGTTTGGATTGAAGTAAAGCGAAACCAACAAAATGAAATCTGATAATAAATGTAAATCACCCTTCATTTTTTCATTACTTCCACTGAAATTCCTAGCATCCAAGGACAGCTCCAGTAATCAAGCTCCCTTAAATTAGTTCATGAACTGAAATACTCTTAACCAGAATAGACTTTCACTGCAACATTTGTATCCGCAGCATTTTGGTAAGACATGAGCTTCAGGGGAATCTAGAGAAAAACCAGAAAACCTCCATTGCACAACTGCTTTTCATTTCAGTATGTTTTCTACAAATACAAGTCATGTCGGTCTACTACAACAACAACAATAGCAACAAAAACAATAAAAAGTTTTTATCTCACTAAGTGGGGTCCGCTACATGAATCCTTTTTCTCCATTGTGTCCTAATGAGTGTCATACTTTCATTTAATTCTAATAAATGTAGATCATTTTTTATACAATATGCCCAAGTCTTTTTAGGTCTACCTCTGCCTTTCTAAACATAAGTCGAATCTATAACATCTACTCTCCTAATTGGATCATCAGATAACCTTCTTTTCTTAACATCATGTAGGTCTACTTTCCATTATTTTTTGCTTTCATGAACCAAGATATTGAGATGCGAACAGAAGTTCTCATTTCTGAAAATAGTAAATCATTTTTCCCACACAATATAAAGGAAAAAGTCAGCATGGCACCATATTAAACTATTGACCATGTTGAAACACATGGAAATGGTTTCTTCACAACCTTGAAAACTCCTAACTAGCATAAACCTGGCTTGTAGCATCTGAAGCAGCAGCATTTTGATAGATGGGATGAAGAACATGACCTTCCAGGGGATCAACATGCACCCATTTCCGACCGCTAAGCTTGTTACGTTCGAATCGTACATGGCCTTCTTTCAGAGCATAGAGAGTGTGATCTTTGCCGATTCCAACATAATCACCGGGATGAAACCGCGTACCCCTTTGACGAACAATGATATTGCCAGGTATAACTTTCTGGAAAAAAAAGCCACTACTTTAACTTCTAAAAAGTAAAATACATATTTTCATCCATAGATAAAGTGACATATATGTAAAAATTAAAGTTTTGATGTTAGACATGTAAATACTAAATCATCCAAAATATATATCCACATACATGCACATAATATATTAATATGGAAGATTCCATCAAGGTATAGGTAGCTTGTGACTGCAGGAACTGACCTCACCACCGAATTTCTTCACACCAAGATATTTGGGATTGGAATCACGGCCATTTTTTGTGGATCCTGCGGTTTTTTTGGTGGCCCAGCGCCTAAACAGCAAGTTCAATCCCCCCGATGCTTCTGAAAAACAAGCCCACACCAGTATATTGTGATCTATTTCACCGTATGGGAAAATATAAGCTTGTTTTGGGTGCAGTTATTTACCACTGACACTAGTTGGGTACACATTATCAATATTTGAAACTATCTCTTTAAGCCCCGCTCGTCTAAAAACTGCTGAGAAGCTCATGCTACAGAGTAATTACAAGGAACCTGCAATATTTGAAGTCGAGTTCAGAAAAGCTGGCCATGGATTTCCGTAGAAATCAATCAATTATTCCAAAAGCTATACAAATTAATAGAAATATAGGATTCAGCACTAACTCAGGAAGTGTTGTCTTTAAGCAAATTCGTTGAAAATTAGTAGTAGAATACTTCTGCTGAAACAACATAGATTTCTAATAGGTTTAGGCAACTAACGAAAGTCAAGCACTAAGACCAAATCTATTCTCGACATATTTCATTTAAAATTTGAAAATGATAGTTCCATAACACCCAAAAAAAATTTAAAAAACTGATGATAAAAAGTTAGTGATCCCATGGCTCCAGAATTGCTTATGAATTGAGGAGATTTGAAAAAAGTTGAAATAAGAGGTCGACATGTAAATCCAAAGAATCAAGACAAATGTACACTCACCTGCACTTAATAAGCACTTGCTAAGGAGCACTCGAAGAAGCATAAAGAGTACTTGCAAAAAACAAAGCGACATTCGCCGAAGCTTAAGGAGCACTCGCTTATGCCTAAGATTCTGCCCGATTTAGGGGGCCGCTCGCCCCAGTTAACACAGATGCTTGCTAGCATCATTCAATGGCATGGATTCACCTCCCGAGTAGTCAACTCCAACCAGCAATTTAGCTAGGTTTCATTCATATGTTTTCACTAATGTTTCCGTTATGATGTCATAGACATCCAACCATGTGACTCGAGGCCATTTGTGCCGAAGTGTAATTTCAAAGAAATGACGCACTGAGATGCACGCCTCAAACGACCAATATTAGGTATATGCCTCAAATTTGGCAAGGCTGTGCACCTATCTTCAGTCTTATCAAGGAGCCTGCCTCATAAGACTGTTTTTTCCTTTTTTTTTTTTTTTTTTCTTCCTAAACCTACATTCCCACTCCACTCAAACCTGCACTCAGCTTGTGCATACACGATCTCGCCTCTCACGATGATATCCCAGCCAGTAATCCCAATGCTACTACCAGTACTGCCACTAGATGCTTCCATCATTGTCACCGACGCAAGTTGCTTTCACCACTAATTCTTGAGTTGCACGATCTCCCCTCTAGCTCATTATCTTTCTTCTCACACAAACATTAGCAGCCGTAGTGCCATTGCTGCCTCCGCCACCTGTTGCTGCTTCCGCCAGCGTCATCGTCTCTTCCTTCACCAACGCCACTTGCTGCACCCAATCTCCCTTTTCACACCACCTCCCTAGTGTCGTCATGCCACCGCCACCTCCTTTACACCAAGTTTCCTTATTCTACAAGAATCTCTATTTTCTCCATAAATTACTTCTATCCAGTAATAATATTTAACTCCAACATTTTTTTAATTTCTTTGAATATTTATAATAAGTCAAAATTGTTTAGACTTTGTGTCAAAATTTTCAATATAGGGTTTTGTAAGAAATTATTAGAGATAAGGACAAATCCAAAAATCATAGGAAGGATCCAGCCTGGAGACATAGCATGCAAGATAACATTAGAGACAATGACAAAACATATTTATCTGAAGTGCAACTAGTGCGAGACAATGATTAAAGGGGTTGTAACGAAGATGAAGGAACACTTGTATGGCTCGTACAAAATAATAGCATGTGCTAAAGTGTCAAAAATTGTAAAAGAGGAGGTTCGATCATATATAAATAAGTTGATGATGTTGAAGCATCTTGTATAGTGACAATTTAATGATAGAGTTGATGTTGGCTTTTATTATAAGAATGAACACAGTAGCATGGACTCATCATCTTTGTCATTAATATCTAGAAGAGGTACAAAAGATCTCATATACCAGTGTATGGTACATGTGGAGGATGAAAAAAGCCATAGAGAGGGGATAGTTTTAAATTAGAGGATGTCTCCAAATCACGTTAGAGAGGCACGTAAACATGCTTATATGGATATTGGAAAATTTATTTATGAGAAAGTCATTTCATTCAATGAGGCAATCTCCCCTTATTACTTTTATATGATCTATTACATTGGTGTTTATGGTTGACAGCTGGAACCCCGGCCCATGTATGGTTTTAAGAACATTAGCATTGAAGATGCTGACAAATATAGAGAAAGACAGATAAAATATTAAAAGGACAATCATATTAGAGTAACAATCATGTCTAATGAATGCAGAGAAAAAGCCACCAATGGGCTTTTTTACAATTCAATTAATAAGTTCCAGGAGTTAATAGCCCATGACTTAAGATGAGAGGAGAGAAGTTATTAAGAGATTTAGGACATGATTGATAAAATATAGAAGCTTTAGCTACACAGTCAATTGCATGCTATTGAATATTTCCACAACATTCAAGAATAATTTTTTAACTCTACAATTTCAATATATTGATAGAAAGTCTACAAATCTTGAGATCAAGTTGCGCCTATATCATTGCATTGATAGATTGATTGTTGATCTAACTGGGAGGGCAAATAAGGATATGTAACTAGTTCCATTTAGGAATAATGAAAATTTATTTGGGCTAGAGCAAACTAAAGATACTTTTGCAAAATGATATTCAGGCAATTTTTAATATTTAATGTGTTCATTAAAATAAGAAACAAGAATCTGAAATTTAAATTTCAATGCTCTAACTTCTAACTATATTATTTTCTTTCAAATAAAATTAAATGGTTAATCCAATTTGATGATCACACTCTAAGGACCAGAGCTACAACTAGAGCTGTGAAATCAAGTTCACGAGTCCAGTTTAGGTCTAATACGAAATTGACCTGACCCAAACTGTTTTTATCTAATCCAATACAAATATTAAATAGAACATAAAATCTAAACCACACAACTCGCCTTCAACCCAACGACCCAAATCTGACCTGCATAACCAATTTAATGCACAAATAATAGCTATTTGAAAAATTCATAATAATTTAGTTAAGTTCAGGTCAAATTCAGGTTGATGGGTCTGATTCAAATCAATTTCGGGTTGACGGGTCAGTTTTAGGTTAATTTTGAGTTGGTCTTTCAAACTAAGTTCGAATCTTAAAAAAAAATGAGTTGGGATTTTAACTGAATTTTTTGAGTCAGGTTCGTGTCGAGTTGTCATATTCGGCCAAATTTTGACACCTTTAGCTACAAAGTTTTGTTGTTAAACTATTGAAACTTATATGCCCGTCATCTAGATGTGAGGCAATTGAAGCACATATAATCAAGTTCATATTTTTTAAAAAAAATGCTAACGACATTAAAAATGAATTCATTGGTATATATTATGTACATCGAAAGACTATATGACAAAAATATGAAAAGGAAGAGGGGGTGGGGGGGGGTTGGATTTGAAGGATAACAATAATCTCTTACTATACAAAGATATGTCATCAGATGATGAGTGATTTGTAGATGATAAAATAGATTAAAATTAATTTGGAGCTATTTTTAGGGCCACATCATATGGTAATCTAAAATAACATTAAACCAATCAACACTATGATTAGCTACACAACAAGATGTTAGCAATGCAAACAACACTTAACCCCATAAAAATTATAAAAAAAAATTAAAAAATTTAAAAAATTAAACAAAAAAAAACAGTTTCAAGTAACATTTATGCTCTGGCATTCCACATAACCATAAAACTTCCCACAGCAGGA